AGGTACCAGAAACCCAATCCTAAATAGGAAACAAACGATAAACCTCTACTCCTGTTAAAAGAATCAGGGAGAAGTGTGAACTGGACGGAAGTGATCCTATCTATTACTATTGGGGGAGGAGAAAAATAAGATAAAATAAATAATTAGTGAAAAAATATAACTTCGATATCGCACAGGAACCGATGTTACAACATGACGTGGCCGTAAACCTGTACGGTTCAGAGAAACTGAACAGGTTAAGTTTGGTAAAATCATAAATTGTTTACGTGAGAATTAAGCGACGGTTTACCAGAATCTTGAATCGAGAGAAAATCTGGTGAGTGATATTGATCAATGGTCTAATTATCCAAATCCGTCAAGCTGATAGATATAGATGTTAACAGGTTGCGTGTTTGTGTGCATTTTCAGTGAAGGTGCGTGTTTACATATGATAAACAAAGAAGCATACAAAAACCTGGTTTTCAATCATGGATCATTTATTCTCTTTTTTTTTATAGTGACTAGAATGAAACAAAATTTTCACTTATTTATATTATTTACATTGCTCGGAGCGTTGTCCTCATGTTTATTGTCATATTCACAACGTTTCGGCCGTTGTATGCTCCGGCCTTCTTCAGGTGATTGAAATTTTGAACTGAACCCTTTATTTTGTCCACCGGGGGATACCCAGACTATTCGTATATGAAAGACTATATTTGTGTAGAATACTGCTGTTTGTCTAGAATGTTTAAGTTCTTCTTTCGGATAAGCAATATAGCTTTCGCTTCTGTAGGTAAACAGCTAGAAATTGTTTTCAGAGTCAAACTATAGATAAGAATGGTGAAGCTCGGGCTGTTGCTTTGGATATCTGGAAGGCATTTGACAGAGTTTGGCATACTGTTCTAGTTCCACGTCCTATGCCTCTTCCGAATGTCTCAGTTATTTCTATTTAACTCTCCAAGTTTTTTTATGTTCACCACTGCGTGAATATGACAATAAAGATGAGGACAACAGTCCGAACAATGTAAATAATGTAAATAATTAGAATACCTCATCTCAGAAATATAGAAAGATAACAATTTCTTATTGTCTATATTTCTGAGATGAGGTAATGTAATTATTTATATTATTTACATTGTTCGGACTGTTGTCCTCATCTTTATTGTCATATTCACGATCTTTCAGCCGTTCTATGCTCCAGCCTTCTTCAGATGATTGGAATTTCGAACTGAACCCTTCATTGCGTCTACCGGGGTAGATTGTACAACGGCCGAAACGTCGTCAACATGACAATAAAGATGAGGACAACAGCCGGAACAATGTAAATAATGTAAATAACTACAATACCTCATCTCAGAAATATAGACAAAGTTCTTAATGTCTCTTTGGTATATCTGTTTTCTTTTTCTTGTTTCAGAAGTTAGGGTAATTATAAACATCTTATTCATGGTCCAACTCAATTCAGCCCTGCGCAGAGTTGGAACAACCAAAGGAAGATCTGTACTTTATCACTGGCCAGTTGATACATAGTTATAGCATGTCCGTTTTTTCTTTGTTCAGTTAGAGCAAGTCAGTATAAGCACCGTTACAATCGTTGCGCTCAAGTCGTAGAGAAAGTTTGAATTAATTCATAAGTTGAGATTTTAAAAGACACGTGCAAGCGCCATGCGTTGGAAAGTAAGAGAGTTCAATCGTCAGTGGATCGGGGAAACTAACATTCCTCAGTGTGAATTTACATCTTAGAGCGAAAAAGAAAAAGTGCGTGATTGAGGAACTGTTTGCCTTTTTATCGTCCACAACAACGCCACCTAACGGCGTTTGAACAACGTGATATTTCTGGTTCCTTTAATTTCAGCATCATAATATCTTTTTTTTCTTCTTTTTTTTTCCACATAGACCATGGAACTTTTGCCTTCGGAGAGTTACTGTTGTAAGTTGCTGGTGAAAACACTGCCCGAATATGCAGTTGAAAAACTTATGCGTCTCGACTGAGTGTGTGTAATCTATAAAAAGGAAAATCGAAATTGTGTCTCTCAGACGAACTATTAAGTTCATCGCGTCGTAAGATGAAAACAAGAAACAAAGAACTGAAAGCCTTCCGCCGAAGTGTATATCACCACGAAAGAAAAAGCTTTATTACTACTGCTATTAGAAGCGAACACACAGCCACAGAGATTCTTTTATTGCTCCAGGAAGTGCAAAAAGAACTAGTGAGATATTTCCCTTAAGCGCTGTCATTAAAATAATTTCTGAACCCAGTCTATTCATATATAAATGACTCTATTTGTGTAGAATAGTGGTGTTTGGCTAGAATGTTTAAGCTATTCTTTCGGATAAGCAATATAGCTTTCGCTTCTGTAGGTAAACAGCTAGAAATTGTTTTCAGAGTCAAACTATAGATAAGAATGGTGAAGCTCGGGCTGTTGCTTTGGATATCTCGAAGGCATTTGACAGAGTTTGGCATACTGGTCTTCTTTACAAATTGAAGGATTATGGTATTTCTGGGCGGTTTTTCTAGAAAATAATTCAGTTTTTCTTATCACATCGTGAAATGAAAGTGGTCCTGAACGGCCACTCTTCTAGATCTTTTTACATGTAGACAGGCGTCCCCCACGTTATACCTAATTTTTATTAATGACCTTCCTGGTGGCATCAGTTTTAAACTCGATATCCATGCTGATTACACTATTTATTCCTGTCGAATCTAATCGAACTGATCAGACTTACTTATGTCTGATTAGTTCGATTAGGTCAAACTAAAAAATAACATACATTGTGTTGCTAACTGTGGTAAAGAATGGCTTGTTAATTTGAATATCTTCAAAACGAAACTGCTCTCCGTTAATCGCCTGAGAGAACCCATTTTTCCTTCCACGAACATAGCTGATGCTAGCCTCCAGGTGAGTGATTCATTGTAGCTTCTCAAGCTAACGTTTTCGCTGACATAAAGTGGGAAGATTATATTGAATCAATTGCTAGGTCTGCTGCGGGGAAAGTTGGTTCACTGTGTCGTGATAGATAATTTTTCTCATCAGAATCTATCTTACATGATTTATTCGTCCATGCTTGAATATTGCTGTCAGATATGGTCTGGTGTCCCCGTTATATATTCAGAGATCCTCGATAAAATCTAAAGAATCTGCAATGTTGTTGGTACTAACCTGTCATCTCGGCTTCAGTCACTTTCCCACCACTGTAATGTGTCTTTCCTGTACCTTTTCTACAAATACTTTCATGGTAATTGTTCTGGTGAGGTTTCGTCATTGGTACCTAGACTTTATGAATTTAAGTACAGTACTAGATTGGCATTTCTTGATGTTTTCATTTATTATCAATCCAACTCCTTTTTCATTTTTCTCTTCATCTGCATATATAGGTTGTTCCAGTAACTAGAACCGTTTTTAAATGTGAATTAAATTTAAACGCGATGACGAAGAGAGGTGATTGCATTTTCTGCCACATCCTCGTGCATTGCAGCAATGTTTTCAGCTGAACGGCTTAAACGAGCACGCAATGATGTTTTCACATCTGCCACCGAACCAGTTTGTTTGAATTTACGAACAATTTTTAAAATGCATTCTCGGTTGGTACATTATGTTGACCAAAAAACTCGCAAAGTGCGCGAAAGGCATTTCTATTTAAACGTCCATTTTCGTAATAGGCTTCGATACTTTAACACGTTGTTTGATTATTAATCTTTCCATGACTGAAATTGCCAAAGACTTAAATTGTTAAATCTGAAAGAAAAAGAAAAAAAAATCATTAGACGCTTAAACTTAATTCACATTTAAAATCGGCCGAAGTTATTGGAACACCCTATATAATCGTGTGGTTGTCACTGAAAAAAATCTCCGTTGTTTGGCCACCTAGTTTTATATACAGCTAAAATGTTAACATTTAACCTACTCACCTGTTTTATATTTTTCAACTAGTCACAGTTGTTTAAGCTATTCTTTCGGATAAGCAATATAGCTTTCGCTTCTGTAGGTAAACAGCTAGAAATTGTTTTCAGAGTCAAACTATAGATAAGAATGGTGAAGCTCGGGCTGTTGCTTTGGATATCCCATATCCCAAGATAAATTTTTATTTAATGTGAACAGTATCTGGATGACGGTCCTTGTGCAAGTATTGTATGATACTTTTGATGTGCCAACACTTCAAGAATTCGTTGACCGTACAAGTATGATTACGAGAAAAAGGAAACGTAGGGAAAAACGAGAGGTTGACCCCAAACGAAAGAAATACAAAGTTCAGTACGTGGCAAAATTATCAGAAAGAGCAGGGAGTGAATACTCAGAAATAAAATAAAATAAAATATTTGCTAATAAAAAAAATCTCAAAAGGGGGATGTTGTGGAGTAAATAACACCCCGGCAACAAAAATGAATTAGGGGAGACGCCTTAAATAAAGAACTCCAAGTAAGTCAGTGAAGTTCGTCGCAGTCAGGCAGTCCATCAAGTTCTCTGTCTTTGGGCAGAGTACAACTAAGTCAGGGCTCTATCTAAGGACAGAGTACGACTCAGTCAGGGCTCTGTCTTTGGTCAGAGTACTACGCAGTCGGGGCTCTGTCTAAGGACAGAGTACGACTCAGTCGGGGCTCTGTCTTTTGTCAGAGTATGACTCAGTCGGGGATGTCTAAGGACAGAGACTCGACTGAAAAGGATAGACAATACAAAGTGCCCGATCCCGCGGTTGCAGAGGCTGGGTAAAATTTGACTATTGGCCTGAGTATACGCGCTCGGGTCCCCCACACTAAACTTGACTTTGTCTCACTGGGGAGATTGGGTAAATACCAGTACGTTGAAGTCAAGAGAATTTCTAATAGACATCATGGCCTAAGCAAGACATAATATTATAACCGCTGTTTTAGTTGTGCCTAGGTGGCTTTATCGCCTTACTTGGGAGTGAAATGATTGAAAATCATGATATGTAACTTTATAAGACATTTTGGTTAGCTGATTACCAAGGGTACAGCGTCAGTAGCGGATTCTTTTTTTCTTAAGGCACTGATGCAAAGGGACTTACGGCCACATCACGCTGAAACATTGGTTCCCATACGATCACTGAAGTTAAGTAATGTTGAGCCTGGCCAATAGCTAGATGGGTGACTGCTTGGGAATCCAGCTTGGATGTGTGGGTGGTGTAATGGACAATGGCTCAGAATTGTTAATCGGAAAACCGAGTTCCAATTCCCGTTGGTTTGTTATATGGTTGGTTACAAGCAAATACCTTTGGGAAAGGTAGGAATCCACGTTTTCTGTCCTCCAGCTATGAATTAATCAGTAAGACTACAGTAAGTCTTACAATTAGTAAGACTAAACCATTATTATCTAAAAAAAAAAAATGTCTTACAATTTAAAAATATTTTCTGTGTTTAAATAATCCGTAAAAGTTTGATAATCCGTAGGAAACGAATCAATCAATCAATCTGATGCAAAATGAACACCTAGAATTCGAACTCGGCGTGACGATTCTCATTCTCGCGCTGCTAAACGTTAAGGAAAACCGCGCATGTGCACACACAAACTGATACACAAGATACGATTCATTTGTTCATTTGTACAATGGCTATATTCACCAAAACTACATAAGAAACCAGTAGAAATCTATTGATATAATTTGTACGTGTTTTCTAGACAACGTGACCAACAAAGACCGTTTTGAATCAGAAATCATCCCTAAGGAACAACAATAGACTATTTATTTCAATTACTTGACAGGTTAAATGCTATACGATTCAGATCTGTGTCTTCTGGTGTAGCGTTTGGTATTATTACATCTGACTCAAGTGTGCATCGCCTGACACATGTAATATAAAACTATGGCGAAAAAAGCCAGTGTTCAGAGTGCATAGTAATGTCTTTCTTTCTAGTTTAGAATTCAATTTATTGAATATCATTTACCAAAAAGCATAGTCTTATATAACATTTTTTATATAGTAACCTTATAAAAGGCTACATTGACAAGGGTTCAAATATCCAAAGTAGCAGTCAATGTGTGAAAGCACAATCATTTGTGAGTGTAATTGAAGTCTTCTTTAACTGACTGTTACGTAATTTTATACAAAATGTCTTCTAATAAAATTAAAACTTAAAACTGGATTTATACTTTTCTTATTTATTTATTGGATTGTTTATTTACAAGACTAATTTACCATCTACAATGCAATATTTATCATTTACCATATAAAAATAACTATGAAAAAATTTTTTTATTCATAAATTTACAAAAATATCTTTGAACAAGAAAACAAGAAAATTTAAATAAACACGAGAACTGTAATTTATAAATTTTACAAAAACAAAAAAAAATGAAAAAAGGAAGAATTTCTTTTGTTTGTTCACGTCACATGAATTCACTAAAATAGAGCCGAGAAAAAAGTTTATAAATCCAGTCTCATGTTTAAAATATTTAAAATTATTCATTAAAGTATATTTAAAAAATAAGATAATTTAATAGTTTTCAATTATTATTTATCTAATTTAATTTATTATATATATATTATGACTATTTATTTAAATTTATATACAGGGTGCGAAGGGTAAATTATCGCCATTTTATATTTTTAATTTTACGTGCGCTTTTTTTTTCTTTTTTTTTTTGTCAAGTGCACAGTATAGTAAGGTCGGTTGAGCATCATCTACAAGAAAAAAAAACCCATAATGCAATTCACCCTGACAGAAATTTGGAAATTGCATGCTTGGCGTTCGCGCCGGAAGATTCAATACGAATATTACAGAGTTTTGAGGTGTCAAACTGAGGACGGTGTAGGGGATTCGGAAAGAGTTGGATGAGTCTAAATGGTGATTAAAAAGGTGCGGCAGATCGGAAAACTCGTTCTGATCGTTCTGTTAAATAAAGAACTGCCGAATTTGTTGGTGAAGGCCTCACTCAACACAGATCTACGTCAAGCCTTGAGGGGGTAGTGCTGACCTGGGTCAAGAGAGTGGCTGCTGGAAAAACATATGTCTGATAACAGGGCTCTGAATCATGCCACATAAGTAGTTGAACCAAATAGTGGCTGTCAGACAATTTCTGCGACCACATCACACCTTACATTTGACCACTTAACTCCACAGTCTGCACCCTCTTGATTATTATGTGTGGGGCGCAGTTGAGCAAGAGATCAACAAAACTCCTTGTAATACCAAAGATAAACTGAAGGCAAGGATTATGGTAGCATTCACCAACTTAAACAAGAAGAACATCCAGGGGAGTTGCAAGAGATTCCGAAGTCGTCTGGAGGTCGTGGTTGAAGCCAATGGTGATTTTATTGTGTGACACTGAGATCTCCGGGGGTTGATGAAACAAAAAAATAAAGAAAGACAGAAGGAAGAGGGAAAACTATTAATTAAATGGTAATTGTTGAAATTCACAGGAAAATGAATTGAATGAAGGAAATTAAAAACGAAATACGTTGAAAAATCATGTTTTGAAATAATTCCAAGTAGCAGTGAACAAAAATTTAACTAGACGAATTCAGTAAGATTGAGCAAAACCAAGATTACCCGTCCTTCCCCACTTCCCGCCGATAAGAAAGAAACCATTAAGGTACCCACGAATATGTTGCCGATAAAGTGACCAGGCTAGTCGCCATAATAACATTTACGATTCCTCTAGATAAAAAGGGCAGGAAAAACTATCTGTTCTGAATCAGACACCCAGAAGAGAAGTGTCCCCACAGATATAGTGACCAACTTGACACGTTCGTCATTATAATTTCTGTGACATTTGCCCAGAGAAAATTTTTTATATCCAAACATTAATTCGGATTCCTCTGGATAGAAGTGATAAGGAAAAATTAATTACTATTTTGAAATGACTACGGACAAAAAGCCTACGTGGTCTGTCGGTCGTAAAAAAAATTCATAGACAAAGAAAAGATAAACTTTTGTTGTAAGGAGAGTGGACATAATTTTTTTTTTCCTTTTCCAATTCTTGAGTGGCCTGGTTGTTCGGGAAATCATAGAATGGGACAAACTGATAAAGAGAGATTAATGACTGAAAATTTCTTTTGTTTTCGCTAAGCCATCTGGAAGTTGGATTCGTCACACCAGCCCTAGGAGAGGGCTGCGGTTAGCTGCTGAGAAAGTGGGATAAGGAATAGAGATTAGCACCGCCTATGTGGAGCTATAGTGTGAGGTGAGGCCGGAAGAAAGTTGAAAAGAGTCGGCTTGATTCATCTCAACAGGGGGCTGGACAACCCCAAATTTAGAAAACCACATGAGTAAATTTATTTTTATAATGGAAATGTAGAAAAGGGTGATGCTTAGGGTAGAAGATAACCGAACCCAGACCCTAGCCGGACGCAAGACTCCATATGAGCTGGAGATTTCGGACATGTGTGTGTATGTGTGAGAGAGAGAGAGAGAGAGAGAGAGAGAGAGAGAGAGACTGGCAGACAGACAGAGATTCCCCACACAACTACTACTGGAATCCACATCGTTTGCCGAGCCTTCTGACCAAGACCTGATGCTGACCCAGAAGACCAGACTCCAAGCGGGATCCCAGTGTCATCTGATTATCACAGTAATTGGGAAGGGTTAAAACCGCTGTATACAGCAAATCATATATAATCTAAATCGATGTTACATTTTTAACCCGAGTTAATTCTTTATTCCAAAGGATTCCTGTTTTCTGGGGTAGCTCTAGCTGTCGAACCGCCTTCACTTCAGTTTGCTTCATCAGCGATCTTCTCACCCTCTTAGATAAAAAAAAGAAACAACGTCGCAGAGAAGTGAATGGTCATGAACAAACAAACGTCAGCTTAGTCGAGTGAAACCGTGTTTACTATCACGAATCCCCGAGTATTTTAGGCTGAAATCTCGATATATCTTTTCATTTTTTGTTTTTGCTGTTTGTAAAATGAACAAACTTTTAGATATTTGTGTTTGTTTATGTACTATTTCTTAATTTTTCTTCCTTTCTAGTATTTTTATTTACCTAACGTTTTATATACTTAAAAATCGTTACTTTTTTTGGGGGGAGGGGCTTCTAAAATACGTAATGTATAATACAAATGTTTATAGACGTACATATATGTTCCAAATGTTGTCATAGCCCGGGGTGATAGTGGGAACAAGCTCCCACTGTCTATAAAATGCTTCCGTAGCCTGCGTCTCAAATAGCCTCTGACAATTAAGTCCAGTTCAACACCGGAGAATGGGCGAAAGCAGAAAACAGACGCTTCATAAGCAGCTGCTTCGAATAGATGGAGCGCAAAAGCACAGAAAAGCAGTTCATCTAGGAGAAGGGAAAACCTTGATTTTAAACCTCCACTGCCTTGTGGTCATTTGAAAACACGGTAATGGTTATGGAAGTAAATCCAGACAGAAAACCTGGAGTGGAGCCCCAAAGACGGTTGGATGTCAATACTGACAACTTTCCAGCAACTTCTGTAGCCAAGCCGTCCCCAATGCTCTGTATTCATTTGGATCTTGTCGGTTCGGCCGCGTTGTTGTTGGTGGTGGGGGCATGTATTGTGGGCAGCACATGGCCTCCATATACCATCGCCAGTGCAGGAGAAAGAAAATTCTGAATTCAAACAAGCCGCTGCCTTGTAGATCCTGCCTCTTTAACTTCTAAGAGGAGGAATGGGGATAACTTCAACATCCCTGGTGTAAAAGGAACCAGCAAGCCATTGCACTGCCTTCAATGACACCATGAACCACAATTATGAGGTGGAGGGGGCAATGGTGACCACATATGGCGCAAAGTGGTCTAACTGAATAAATGAAATGTGTGTATATATATATATATATATATATATATATATATATATATATATATATATATATATATCCCTTCCAGAGGCGAAGTCTGTTTCATGCTAGATGTAATCGTCAGGCCTGACGATTGCATCTAGCATGAAACAGACTGTCGCCTCTAAGTGTTGACTTCTATGTTCAATTTTTTATTTATACACTCTCTATCTCTGATATTGAGCACTTTATCCTATAAATATAGCACACCTTAAGACTATATTTCTTCATATATATATATATATATATATATATATATATATATATAGAGAGAGAGAGAGAGAGAGAGAGAGACGTTCACGTTTATTTCTAAGATGTCCTCAAATGTAATGCCCTGTATTTCTTTGGATCTTGTCGGTACAG